CTGGAGCACTTGCAACCTCCACCTTGTAATAAAGTTGGTAGAATTACCGACAATATGTAAAGTAAAAGGACACAAGTGCAACTAATGTGACATTTTATTGTGGAAACGTTTCGCTCTCCAGGAGCTTTATCAAGCCATTACAAACAATACATGGACACAAAGGGTATATAAAGGCTCAGAGTGAGGTGCAGTACTAGTGAGGTACCATTTAGATGTTCACTAGTGGTAGTAGTAGTAGTAGTAGTAGTGACAAAAGTAATAGTAGTAATACAATATGGTAGAGCAATTAATTCGTACATGAGTAAAAGGATATAAAAGCTATTACTTGGGTAACATAAAAATAGGTTGGACAAATATAGACTGGAAAGAGGCAGCCTGTTTCAGTGTTCACTCTCTGTAATGTGCAGTATAACAGGAGAGACTATGTGATGGTAGGGTTTACTGTTTTCAGGAGGATTCTTGCTAAGACTTCAGAGATGGTGAAGCTGCCGTTGTTTTGTTTAATTGTATTCGAAACAGCGATCAGTGTTGATTCGAGGCACTTGCGTCTGCGGAAATTAGTTTCTTTAATCACTAATTGGGCGTCTCTGAATTTCATGAGATGATTGGTAGAATTTCGATGTTGTACACAGGCGTTGTTCAAGTTATCGTTCCTACATGCGTAAATGTGTTCATTGAGGCGGGTGTCGAGGTTTCTTGCTGTTTCACCTACGTAAATCTTGTCACAGCCTCCACAGGGTATAGTATAAACTTCTGCGTTGACTGGTTCGTGGTGCTTGGATTTTGTTCTGGTTAGATCCTTTATTGAAGCGCTAGAAACGATGGCGACTCTGGTGTTAGCTTGTGAAAGTACTTTTGAAACGTTCAGTGCAACCTTAAATGTTCTAACTGCAGCGGGTCACATACTGCAGTTGCAAATTCCTGCCCTTCTAGAAAAGATATTCTCTCCTCCCTCAGAGCAAGCCAACCTCCCTCCATCCCCAACTCCTTCCCTGCACATCCCCCCCTTCCATACCTCCCTCCCCTACCCCCAATGCCTGGGTTACTACACGCACTTGGTCTACCTCTCCTACTCTACACACATCAAACACCAACACACAGATTACAAGCACTTCTTCTACACCTACACCCACACTAGACTACAAAACTGTCAATTCGTCACTGCTGCCCAGTCTGCGATGGTAATCTCTCAAGCTTACCAATCAGACTACTCACAGGTCCTTAACCTAATCTTCCTGCTTCTTTTCTAAACCCCCTACAACCTCTCCCTCCTCCCTCTCTCCCACTCCCCCACTTCCTAAACCCACTAGCTCTCCTCCTCCCTACCCCTCTTCACTATTTCTTACCCCTCCCACCAACACCTTTACTGTTGCTGCTACGACCACCCCTTCCCAATCACCTTACCCACTTCTTCATCCCCAACCAAAGCTTCCACTTCCTCATCCCTTACCATAGCTTCCACTTCCTCACTCCCTATCAAAGCTTCCACTTCCTCTGCATCCACCTTCGCCCACTCCACCACAACCAAAACTTCATCCAGGTCCAACTCCACCTCCTCCAGACAAAATCCACTCAAACCTAAACCTGCCGCAACTTCTAACGGACAGACCAAAGAACATAAAAACAGATCCATATCTTCCTCTCCCTCCAGGAAACGGGTCCGTAACATCTGCAAACACATCCACTGATGGCACCATTATCATAGGCTTTAATCCAAACTCCTCCCCCGACATTAACTTTGCTATGACGAAACCATTAAATCATGTTTAAAGTGATTCAGTTCAAAGTACGCTCTTACTTTACAATTAGACACCTACCGGCCAAGCTCCTTGAAGCAGAGAGGCCAGATATTGTTTTGCTAAACAGTACCTGCCTCAAAGCCCCTCAACGTATCCGCCATTATGGCTATACTGCACTACGTCCCCCTATGATCCCCACGATGGGGTTGCCATCCTTGTCAAATCCAACATAAAACACGAATTTCTCCCAATCCCTTTTATTCAACAACACTGTCTTGCAGTCAGAATACACACCCACCTTGGCCCCTTTATCTTTTTCACCACCTATGCTCGCCCAAGCACTATTCTCAACATACACGACCTTTCCTTAGTCTTCAACTACACCAACATACCTACTAGCTGACATGAATGCCAAACACACCGCCTTTCATCACACCAGTAACAACCAACTTGGTCACCAATTACTCAACTTCACAAACCATAAACACCTAATTTATCTTGGCCCGGATTTCAACACCTTCTACAACCACACGGGCCAAGGCAAACCAGACATCATTCTGGCAAACCGAGCCAGCTCTCTATTTCAACACTACTTTTCATCTGGCCCTATTATAGGCTCTGATCATATCCCAGTCATCTTACACATTTCCTCCAACCCTATCCTCATCCCAGCCACACCTTCCTTCTACAAGAACGCTGACTAGGATGCTTTCAAACAACACATAGACAATACTAACCTCACCTATGACTACAACAACAAACCTATCTCTGACATCGATACTCAACTTGATCTCATCCAGGGCACCATTACACAAGCAGAGAACACCGCAATACAAAAAGAAAACTCACACCACTCGTTATTCCTTCAAACCATCACTCAGAACAAGAAGACTAATTATTTGCTACCACAACCGCTTCCTCTACAACACACATAGATTTAATCAAGTCCGATTAGATCTCACTTACCTTAGAAACAACATTCTACACAGCCTAGACCAAGACCACAACAATCACTGGTCACAACTCATACAACAAGCAGACAAACAAAAAAAATCAGAGGCACAACTCCCCCCAACAAATTCAAACACATCACCCACAACAACACACACATCTCAGACCCGCAGGCTGCTACTAACATCTTCAAACACATCTGGGAGAACATCTTCCACCCTCCCACCTCACCCTAACGTTATTCAACACATTCAGAACATAGGACACTGGAACACTGCACACACAAGAAACAACACCAGATAGCCACATCCATCTGGACTCTCTTACCTCCTCCCAAGAACTCGACACCCCTTTCACCAACACAGACATTAAAACTCTCCTCAGACACCTTCCTCCCAAGGCTCCTGGTGCCTCTGGCCTAAACCATAATATCCTAAAACACCTTCCCGACTCTATCATTCTGCCTACACAAACCTCCTCAATGCCTCCCTTGCCTCTGGATACTTCCCTTCCATCTTCAAAGCTGCTACTGCTATCCTCCTTCCTAAACCCAAAAAAGAACACTGATCCTAGAAACTATCGCCCAATCAGCCTCCTCGAAACTTTAGGAAAACTCTTTGAAAAACTCATCAACCATCGCCTTCGCAGATACCTGGATTACAACTCTCTACTTTCTGATGGCCATTTTGACTTCAGAACACACAGATCCACACAGGATGCCATTAACATCATCCACATAAACGCAAAACAAAGAAACAGGACAGCCCTGGTTGCAAAAGACGTTGAAAAAGCTTTTGACACTGTCTGGCACGAAGGGCTCAAGTACAAACTCTGCACTAACTTTAACCTGCCACTCACTACTCGTAAACTCCTCTGCAACTTCCTAGCCAGCCGTACCATGAGAATCAAATTCCAAGGCTGTTACTCAGACTACTTCACACTAAATGCTGGAGTACCCCAGGGATTTGTCCTCTCCCCTACCCTCTACATTTTATGCACTAACGACATTCCAACACCTGTATACCACAACTCCATCACACTAGCCTATGCAGACGACATTACACAACTTATCTCTCATGCCAATATAGATACACTCACACACAAAAGACAAAATGAGGTCGACAGGATAGCCATCTGGGAACAAAAATGGAGGATCAAAACCAAGGCAGCTAAATCCAGCATTACATATTTTAACTACAGGAAACGTGATCCTCCATTACCTGTCGAGCTCAGAACAGCTGACACCCGCACTTACATCCATATCACACAATCTGCCACTGTCCTTGGCGTTAATCTTGACTACCTTCTTCATTTACACGGACACATTCACTCAAGGCATGCAATAGCTAGTAAGGCTCTTGTGGGCCTCTACAAGCTGCAACATGCCTCCCAACGCAGCAAATTACACCTCTACAAATCCCTAATACGTCCTCTGATAACTTACTCTCCTCTAGCTCTCTCTCTTGTAGCTAAAACTAACTTACTTAAACTGCAGCGTGTCCAGAACAAGGCGCTGCGCTGGGTGCTTGATGTCAGATGGGAGGACTTCGCCACAAGCGAGTCTCTCCATGCCCATGCGCTGAATCTGTACTGGAAGACGCTCAGTGACAGACAGATTATCTAACTTGAGACACAACATGACTACTGCACCTCTCTCCTTGACGAAGACATTTGCAGACCCACAAACCAACACTAACCTTTTCTACTCCTTGCATAATCCTGCTCCTAACCCTATTTATAAATAACCTTGGATTCGCTGACAAGTACCATTCTCTGACCCACGTTCCCCTTAGCTTTTGGGTTAAGACATTGCTCAATTCTACATACGCTCCTCTCTAGCGCTAATCTTCGCCTGTCCAGTCCTCCCCGCTCACCCCACCGGAGTCCCATCAGAAGAGCCTGAATTTCTCTTCTCAATATCTGTCCCACGATCGCCTTCGCTGCTGGGTTAAGCCCTGGCTCTATTTCTACGACTAAGAACACTCCTCTCCAGCGCTATTCTTCGTCTGTCCCGTCTTCCTAGCTCATCCCATTTGGGATCTTACCTGAACTTGTTCGCTCCTTCGCTCCTTTTCGTTAGTGTGACTTTGTAAATGGTCCAAGTCGGACCGAAATGTTGTCGTAAGCTCCTCTCTTCTATGTGCGGGTTATTTGCGTATCGTTTCAGTCACGGTATTGTGCCTTTTTTTTTGTTATTAATAATGTTTATTATGAACGGAACAGCCATGTGTTGTGCCATTTACGAACTGGAACGTGACACTGGATAGTACAATATCATGAGGTACTCTTACTGTTAACTCTCCTCGACAGTGCTGTACTCACCCTTCTGGGTGCACATCCTGAACTTCTGGAAGATGAGACATGAAGATCACATTCTCTTCCTCCGGTATGAGGACATGACGAAGGTAATGTTTTACTCTTTTTCGACATGTGATATTGCAGTGATAATGATAAATAACATGCATGATATGTTGTAATATTTAACTAACATATTTTGATTTAAAATTTTCTCGTTGAGGTATTTTGTCTCCACCTTATTTATAGGTACATTTAACAAAAATCTAGCTAATTCTTTTTCCATGTATTATGGTCATACTGAATGTAGGACCTGGCGGCAGTAGTGAGGCAAGTGGCAGCTTTTCTAGGAAGAAATGTGAATGAAGAGCAGGTGTCATGGCTGACTCATCACTGCACCTTCGAGGAAATGAGTAAGAATCCAGCAGTAAATTACGACACCTTTCGGATGGCACCCACACAAGAGGCAAAGGAAATAAAGTTCATGAGAAAGGGCAAGGTAACTCGTACAGAAGAGTACTGAGCATTTGTCTTTGTGTTCATCTTAATAATAGTAGATTAATGAGTTACCAGAGAGTCTGGTGCTGACCCTCTGTCAGGTGAGATGAAAATTGCATTAAATAAATCGTAATAAAGCCGGTGACTTGAGTAAACCTCACGCCTCGAGCTTTTGGTTGAAACACAATTAGACTGGAGCCATTCTTAAACTATAGCAATTTTAAAAAGTCAACAAAATTGGCGAACCAAACATTTACGAAGTAAACCTGTATTGATCAACATGTTGCATACGTGAGCTAGAACTTGTTTAGTCTGTCACAGCAGGTGAGAAGAGGTGATGGAAGATATAATGGCGGCACGATGGTTAACACACACTATTCTCATCGATGGTGTTGTGTGTTTAACTGCTGCTTTCTTTCTTGTGTTATTGCAGGAAAATCATCGACACAGATGTCTTACAGGGAAGATCCAGTACAGCCATATAGGGAAGGCACGGAGAAAAAGCAGCTATTAAAAGCGTAACGCCATCAAGGAGAGTCGCTGTTATAAGCCTTGTGGCTGGCCACCTCAAAGTGATCGCTGCCTTACCTATCGAACTCAATGATCTGAGTAACTTTTTTATTCAACTTCTTCTCTAGTTACTAGTTTAATGTTGCTCCATGACACAACGCAAGTGAAACTGGTTGCTACTGTGTGAATGATTGCGTGTGTTTCTGGTGTAATATATTTTGCAAGACATCTTGTGTTCTTGAAAATTATGAAAAGAATATTACATCATCTTTGATCCACATAATATTGTTATATCCTGCATAGCGTATAGTGCAGTTGTTGTCTTTGTTGTCACAGGTGTTGTGTTTAGTGTGTCTAGAAAATTCATGCATATTATTATTATTATTATAATAAAAAAGAAGCGCTAAACAACAAGGGCTATACAGCGCTGCAGGGCAGGGAGGGATGTGAGGGTATCGGGTAGCAAGAGGGAGAGGGATGATTAGTAGGTTATGGAGAACAGCAGGGCAGTGGATAGTGCAGGGGTAGAGGGTAGCATGAGATTGAGGTAGAAAGGGCTGAGGGGAGTGCTAAAGGTATCGTCATCAGAGTTTGTGGAGTAAATCAGTTATCAAAAAGTCAATGAAAGAGTCTGGATTAAAGGAGGGTCCATCAGCAAGAAGGGAAGGTTAGTTATAGAGCAGATCAGACCAACGTTGTTGCCAACGGGTGCGAAGTTGGGTAACAGTTACAGCAAAATAGTCCATGAATGGAGCACCTCTATATGAAACTGAAAGGTCATATACCGCTGACTACACAGCAGTGTCTGCTTGTTCATTGCCCTGTTCGTCAACATGACCAGGGACCCAACAAGAAACAATATCTTTGTGCTTGGTAGAGACATGGCGTAACCAAAGTTGGGTATGGAGAACTAGGGGGTGAGGTGTCTCAAATTTTTGTATATCCTGTAAAGCACTAAGGGAGTCTGAAACAACCACAAATGGTAACACAGGCATAGATGCAATACGGATAAGTGCTGAAAGAATGGCATATAATTCAGCAGTAAAAATGCTAGCCGAGGATAGTAAATGCCCTCGCACCACACTGTCCGGAAACATTGTTGCGAATCCGACGCTGTAAGAAGACTTAGAACCATCTGTGTATACTGCGATGGCATGAGATTGAGAGTGAAAGTGGTCAAGAAAAAGAGTGCGGAAAGCTGACCGTAGGCAGTTGGGCTTTCGCGCATGGCAATGAGAAAGAACAGACACGAACAGCTGGAACTTCCCAAGGGGGTAGGGAAAAGTGAGATGCTACATGAACAAAGAAAGGCGGTAACTGAAGGGAAGACAAGAGCGAATGTAGGCGAAGAGAAAAGGGATGGAAGAATGCCTACTAACATCAGTGGCTATTCTCTATATGGAGGGATTGTTAGATCATGAGAGCGAACATAATAAAGAAAGCAATGGGAAACACGGTGATCGGGAAAGGATGAAATAATCGCTTCGGCATAGAGACTCTTAACAGGTGAAGAGCCAAAAGCACCAAGGCATAAACATAATCCCTAGTGATGGATGGGATTAAGGCTAGAGAGAGTAGCAGGAGAGGCCGCCGAATAAATCTGGTCACCATAATCGAGTTTCGATAAAATTAGGGCTGAATTTAGGCGAAGGAGAGTTCTACAATCAGCTCCCCATGGAAAATGAGTGAGGGTTTTAAGAAGGTTCAGCCGGCTGTGACAACTTGCCTTCAGAGAGGTAATGTGAGGTTTCCAGGATAACCTACGGTCAAACAGAAGGCTTAGAAACCTGACCGTATCACGTTCTGGGATACCTGAGCCATAGAGGTACAATGGATGATCAGAGATGACAGAATGTCTAATGAAAGTAATCTGGTGAGTTATTGTTCTGGAAAATTTAAACCCATGCGTGGTGGCCCAATTGGAAACACGGTTGACCGCATGCTAGAGAGAAACTGCAATGAGGTGACAGTCAGCGCCTGCACAAGCCATAGCGAAGTCATCAACATAAAGTGATGACCAAATATTGGATGGAAGAAGAGAGGCCAAATCATTTATAGCAAGGAGAGAAAGTGTTGTACTCAGAACACTTCCCTGGGGGACACCAGCTTGGACAAAGTCTGGGGAGAGCATATTATTAGCCTGAACACAGAAATGTCTGTCAATTAAGAAGTTCTTAAAGAAGGATGGTAGATTGCCTCGGAGGCCTAAGAGTGGGCTTGGGCCAAAATATTATACCTCCAAGTTGTGTCATATGTCTTCTCAAGGTCAAAAAATATGGCAATAACTCAGTGGTTATTCGCAAAGGCTATTACGAACATATGTATCCAATATCCAAGTGTAGTAAGGGGTCAATGCTAGAACGGCCCTTACGAAAGCCATATTGACTAATGGAGAGACTTGTGTGTCTCGAAATACCACATTAAATGTGGATTTTCCAACGTTCCATCACCTTGCAAACTGCACTGGTAAGAGCAATGGGACGATAGGGAGGCATCATGTCCCATAGTACCCGGCTGGCGGAAAGGGAGAACAATGACAGATTTCCACAGCTGGGGAAGAACTCCTTGTGACCAAATAAGATTAAAGAGTTGTAAGAGGACTGTAAGGGCTGACTGATGTAAATGTTGTAACGTCCGAATATGAATGCCGTCAGGCCCAGCTGCCGATGATCGCAAGCTGAGAGTGTTGCCTCCAGTTCCAGAAGTGTAAAAGGCACATTATAAGATTCTTCTTTGATAGAAGAAAAGTCTAAGGGCGCTAACTCTCTGGCTGACTTTGTGGAAAGAATCAATGGGCATAGATGGAGCCCCTGAGAAATACGGACAAGAGGATTACCAATTTCAATGGCTACGACAAGAGGGTTTGCTATGTCAACACAGGCAACCCACAGAACAGGAGCAGTACTTTTTTTCAGACTGCACTCATAGAGGAGGCTGAGGTGATGGTGGAAGCATAATCTCACCAGTAAGTGCATTGAGCGTCGCGGATGACATGGCGAGTGACCACTTGCCTCTGCTTAAAATCAAGAAGTCTCCCTGTCTTTCTATTGTACTAGTACCTGCCCCACGCAACGCGTTTCAAATGTACTGCACAAGCACAAGCAGGAGACCACCAAGGCAGCAACTTCTGAGAATGCCTGCCCAAGGTTTAGGGTATAGAATGAGAAGCTGTAAAAACTCATCATTGGAGGACGAAGAAGGAACCTCACTAAAAGCAGTTAGTTGTGAGAAAAGGTCCCAAATTACTTGATCAAATTGCCAGCATGGGCTATGAAGAGGTGGTGAATATGAAGGAGAAGAAAGAATGATTGGAAAATGATCACCGTCATGTAAGTCGGGAAGGACAGACCAGGTGAAGTCTAGTGCAGTGGAGGAAGAGCAGACCGAAAGATCGACGCAAGAGAGAGTATGAGTACGAGGATCAAAATGGGTGGGAGTGCCCGTATTTAAAACATGGAGGGGGTGAGAGGCGAGAAAACCCGCTAACTGAATACCACAGGAGTCACAGTGAGACCGCCCAGAGGAAATGGAGGGAATTAACATCGCCAAGTAACAGAAGTGGTGGCGGTAAGGACAAAACAAGAAAAGCAACATCCGGGATAGATAATGCCCGAGAAGGAGAGAGATACATAGAACAGATTGTATACTACTTATTCAAGTGCATACGGGCTGCAGCGTAATGCAGCAAAATATGAACAAATAGCCGACTGTACGGAATATCAGTGCATATAAGAAGGGCACTTTCATTAAATGATCCATCAGAAAAAGGATCCGAAGAATACAATAAATCATAGCCCGAGATGGGATGGATAATAGCGGGGTGCAATTTTGGTTCCTGTAAGCAAACACCAGCAGGGAAAAACAGGGAAAGCAACATCTGAAGCTCACCCCAATTACCTCTGAGGCCGCGGATATTTCCCGGTAAATAGGCCATGATTGGTAACGAGAAAGATACAAGAAATCTGCAGGTAAAACTTCCTATGGACTAGAGGAGTTAGAAAAGTCCACATGTGGCGGCAGCAGAAAACGTTCAAGCAGCGAAGGAATGGGACTGTGAAGATAGGAGTTGTGCAGATGGAGGAGAGGGAAAAGGAGGAACAGGAGGTGGATCAGTGTCCATTGATGGTTTAGTCTCTTCAATATATTCTGAGATAGCTTCATGTGTTTCGGAAGACAAAGACGTATGCAATACAATATTGGAGATGGAAGGAGGAGGGTAAGTATAGACTGAAACAGCAATGGACTGTACCAAAGTAGGAGGACGAAAGGGTAAAGGGAACTGGAGAAGAAGTGTGAGAGGAGACAGAAGAGGAAGAAACCTGGGAGGAGGCAGAAGAGGAAGAAACTTGGGAGGGGACAGGGGAGGAAGGTACAGTACAAGGAGGAGGGTGAACCTCCACACTTGTAACAGAACCAGTGAGAGGTGAAGAACCAGGTACAGAAACTGGAAAGGTAAAGTGTGGAAGTAGAAGGGAAAGAGGGGTTAAAGGAGATTTGAGCAATGGGGATTTCTTTGATTTCTGATAAGTAGAGAGGCGATTGGGATTAGGTGTTGTACGAGGTCTTGTCAATACCAGAACTTGTGAGGGAGAACATGAAGAAGTGAGAACAGACTTAGGTGTTGAGGTACGGACTTCTGAGTCCAGGACAGCAAAAGAATTAGAGACAGGACTGACTATGGAAAGGGTAATCCCAGAAGAGGCCGCAAAATATGGGACACTAGAGGCGGGGGGACGTTTAGAAACACAAGAATAAGAAATATGGGGTAGTCTTCCTTGGAGGTATAGATGAGAAACCGCCATAGGATAGGGGAAACCTGTCTCTTTGAAGCAACGGATTTCTCGCTCTTTTAAGTAAACTTGGCAATGGCGAGAGTAAGATGGGTGAGCCTCATGACAATTAAGGCAAGAGGGAGGTAGACTACAAGACGTATTGGAATGGTCATCGGCACTGCAGACTGGGCATTCGGCCATAGACCTGCAATATTTTGCTGGATGACCAAAACGCCAGCAATTTCTACACTGTTGCGGTGTAGAGATCGCCTTTCGAACTTGTAAACGATGTCCCACTATATAAACAGAGGATGGGAGTTCACGACATTCGAAAGTTAATTGAAGACTGGGAGGTCTTGGAGTTCCAAATGTTCTAGAACATCCTTGCCACATGTCTGGAAGTTCTGTTGGACAATGGTATAGGGCAGAATGACAGTACCACCACAAGAATAAGGGAATGATATCGATAGTATCGATATATGAAAGAAGAGAAAGGTCATGAGCTTGGTTAGCATTCTGGACTGTGTTAATGCATGTACCACTCTTGAGAGCGTGAAAGGATATATCTTTACCAATATGGCATAGGAGCACCTTGCCAGCACTATAGTCGGAAAGATAGGCAGTAGAGGAAGTCGGTCATAAAGTAAAGAATTTAATCCATTGAGCATTCCGAAACTAGGCGTGGAAAGGGAGTGTCGGTCTTTTCTGAGTAGAATGAGAAGGAGGCAAAGAAGTATCATCAGGCAATTGTTGTGGGCGTTTATGAGTCGGACTGGAATTGGTCCTACGTGGGATGGGCTGGCGATTCGAAAATTGCCGCACCGTAGACAGAGAGGCCAGAATCATAGTCAAAGAAGAGCGGAGGTCAGACATATCAAAGGAGTCAGTCAAAACTTGACTCCTTCGAAGTGGGTGATGAAACCACCAGGAAGTGTCTGAAGAGTGGTCAAAAAATGAGGCAGGGCAAGAACGGAGTGTAGTATCAAGAAGGGGCCCAGGGGGAGCAGGTTCATGGATTTGGGATTCCATGGTTAGATCACTTCTTTCTGTTTGTTTTTTAGACAAAAAAAAACAAAGATGGAAAGAAAGAAATGGAGGGAAGGAACATGGAGGAATAGCTCCTAGGTGAAAAAAAAGGGCTGTGAAATCCCCCTCTGCACCCAAGAGGACCTCAGCACCACAAGTAGTGCAGATGCGGCATGGAACCCGTGCCATACCCTACCCTTCATGCCAGTAAACCAGCAATCCAGGATAGCAACCTCATATCCACCGAGCCACCTTGGTGGACAAAAGAGAGGGTGGCCGGACACCCTCCACAGAGCATACCTACTTTGGCTACCACCCCCTGGAATCCGACATGTAGCCTCCAGAGATACACTCGTCACCCGAAAGACACCCAAAGCCACCCCCCGGGAGACTGGAGAGGGTTCGGGACATTCCCAGGTAATCCAGACTCCACGTCAAACTAGACCACCGCCAAGGACCCCAACGGAATATGATGGGCCCCAGTACCCTTCCCCCTACGTAGGAACTATATTTCCTGTGGGAAGAATCCCAAAGACCGAAAAAGAGGAAGGGAACAGGGGAGGGATGAGGAGGAGGAAAGGGAAAAAGAGAGGATGGGACAGAGTATGGGGTATTGGGGGATAATTAGGTTCCGTCGTAGGAAGGAGACCAAAATGTCTAATTCCTCAGACCAAGAGCCTCCTCACCACGCCAAGGAGCCTCCCTTGAAGAGGAATTTGTGCATAGTTTTCGTTGCCTCGGAAATAATATCTGGTAAAACTTGTGACTTACTGATTAAAATCACTTTGCATTCCATCTTTGCGCCTAACACTTTCCAGCACCTCTCCTCACGTGCTGTAACCAACCTTACTATTTTGAAGTACTTTATATTTATAGTCACTTTTCACAATCAACAAATCTATTTTACAGGTAGGAGACTGGAGGAACCACTTGACGGAGGAGCAGCAAAAAGCTTTCAAACAATGGACGTTGAAGTATCTGCAAGGCTCTGACTTTCCTTACTATCAAGACTACGAATAAGATGCAACAAATCACACATAATAATTGCTAGATATTCTTACGTATGGAAGACTTGGTTAAATTTGTGTTGCAAGTCACATTTATTAATAAATTCTAAGTTAGCTTTCTATTACCAGTATTCAGATAGTTGCTACAGAATAAAACAATGTTGTCATAAAATTAAGAAATGTGCTAAGTGCATTTTAACTTCCTATTCGTTCGGTATTTATAGATAATTAACAAAAAGTTATAGAAAATTATTCCATTCTCTCTACGAAAACTACATGTATTTCCGTTACCCCGTCGCCAGCGCCTCAGTGCAGAGTGTGACCAGGTTGGTAATGACATTAAACAATAATTTTAAAGATTTAAAGGAAATCAAAAGACCCTTCACATGGATATTACACAACTCATATATAATTCACACCCTTGAAGGAGACCAAAAAGACCAATATCCAATACACACAAGCACATTTATTTTGAAGTCTCTCAGAAGTTGCATTATTAAGCTGACAAAGGTGTGACAGTGAGACTTTGGTTAGAGAGAACTTCTCGTGTTCCCTCCAGAGTGTGAACGTGTGTACACAAACTCTTTACAAGACTTCTTCAAAAGGAGCTCAACTCATCTGTATAATCTTTATTTTTACTCTCAATATTATTACAGTGAATATTAACACTAGAAAAAATCAGACACAAAATAAATTAATTTTATACACTATATTACTGCTAAACAGAAATTCTAGTGAAAACAAATTGGAACAACTAATAATAGAAAATCAACTTGCGAGAATGGTCACACTTCCAATACATTTCTTCAGTTAATTTCCAGCTTTTTCAGTAATACGGATATTTTCAAATCATCTACAGATACTACAGTAATAATAATGATAATAATAATAATAATAATAATAATAATAATAATAATAATAATAATAATAATAATAATAATACTGATAATACTTTCTCAATTGAACATTTGTCTTTGTTCTGCATTACATTTCAATAAAGCAATGATGATAGCTGACATTACCCATTGCATCTTTTAATTAAACTGTATTTATTTCCTACATCCGAGTTACAGAACCATGTACATAGTAAATAGGTAACGATATAGGCAAGAAACATCAATAAAGAC